TTCCTCGACCTCATCGCACTCAAAAAGCTTCCGTCGGCATCGCCGCGCACCCACCAATACGCTTCGTACCGAACGTACACCACATGACGCATCTCATCGTCACGTCGCCATATGTACATCGCTCAACGACCCGCATATACCCGATGCGCCGAGCCCACCTAACGTAACCCCCTCCCTCCCTCTGCCTCTCTTCCTGGCTAAGTGATCGCTGCCGAACCAGGTTGTCGACCAATCCATGTCCTCATCCAGTCAAGAGTAACAGACACCATGTCTGGACTACCCTTGTCCATAACTTTCGCTGCTTTGCCCTCCATCGACAGCCCATGTCTGAATGGTGGAGCCTGGCCTTATTTAGCTTCTGTTTCTCCCTTCTCGGAAAGCTCAGCATGAGCCTCTTCCCAACACGGCCCAACGTCCATCTGGTCTGGCGCTGGCAGCGCGACCTGTCAGTTTGTCTCTGATCCGGACCTATCTGACTCGCAGGCCTGCCCATCGGCCGATTACTATTGCGACCAGCCTGGCGTAATGGGTGCTACGTTCCTAGCCACACGTCAACGCCTGAATCTGGATCATCGATGGTAGGTTATTTTTTCCATTCGTCGACTGACTTTTCAGATTCAGATGCCATCGAGATTGCCCCAGCCCGTCGTGGACAGAGATAGGGAACCAGCACCATGAGTCGGTATTCAGCGAATCAAGCTACCGCCATCTTGGACATGCCGAAATCTGAACATTGACTACGCTTCCTTACATTTTTTTCAGGCCCACCCTCCCTACCCAGTGTCGGGTAGTCGGACTAGACCCTTTGACAAGAAGGAGGGCATTCCCAGCGCGACAGCCACTGTGGCTGCGACTGGGTACACCACGATGCACGCGTACCAGTTGGTCTGACCAGCTCCAGGTCAACCACACCACCCTCGCACAACCCTGACACACACACCTTCGTAACTGTCAACGCGCGCCTGCGGTAGGAAGGACCAGATCTATGATCAATGCAGATGCGCTTGCTTGCAGCACTGGATCCTGATGCCGTCGCACCGGAACCCCAATTGCCTCGTGTCGCCCTGTCCCATCAACCACCCACCCGCCAGTACTCCGCCAACAACAGCAACAAGTACGACCGCCGGGGAAAAGAAAGTAGTGGCCTGCACCACATCATCCCCACCACCACCAGCGCTTGCCACCCGTTTTGTCGACTTACCGATCGGGGCATGGTAGGAAGAGGCCAGTTGAACAGCATACCAGGTCTGACGCATGCATCTCGCCTTGTGCACCTGCGTGCATCATACATTGTGCATCCGCCGTATCGCAGCTGAGAGCTCCTGGATCATCATGCCTGGTCCAAAACCACACCACGAGGCTTTCCCTGTGGTGCTGTTCATAACTTGGGATACGGACTAGTAATCATTGCGATGGCGTCCTGCTCAACACGCGCCGGCTCTGCTACCAAGACTTGTCATTGTGAACATGAAAAATTCGGCACATCGACAAAAGCCAAGAAGATGAAAGGGGGTTCGGTTCTTGCCCAAGGGCCGCTTTTTGACGATGCTTAGCCCTCCCCGTCGTCTTCGAATCCCTTACACGGCTCCGACCGCAGATTGGTCGACCTCATCAGGCATGACACGACGTGCGTACTGTAGATAGCTATAAGCGTCAGAGCGAGCCGTAGAGCAAAGGGGGGATCCACCCTTGAAAGGAGTGCTGACTTTGTCGCCTGCAGCTTGGAAGCTTGCTTCAGATCCTCAGACGCCACAACCATGTGGCCCGCGGCACCGGCGTTGACCTCCGCGGCGCCAGAAGCTTTGCAACAAGAGCCCTACTATTGACCATCCAGTGCTCAGAAGAGACTAAGAGCCGATGAAGACAAAAAGCCCCTCCCCCCATTATTCTCTGACCAGACGAGGCAGAGCGCAGAGCCTAAACATCGGACCACTTCAGCGGATCCAACTCGTCTCGCTTCTGCCACGCGGAATTTACCAGCTCAAGACCAGCTGCCCTCCCTAGCAGCGGGCTGGCGCTCTCGCGTTGAGATAGAGTCGTGGATAGAGTTCACGCCACAGCGTTCCACGCCCCGTACCTCGTCCGAGTCAATCCAATGCATCCGTCGGGTCGGGGAGTGCGCGTGCAAACCGAGACCTTGCCTATTGCGACTTTCCTTGAAAGGGATAGGCTGGAAAACGAGATCGTTACGTTGCACAGGGTACAGGCGGAAAGTGGGTGGTGCGGAACAGCAACGAACACCTCACGAAATTGACTCCTCACTCAACACAGAGACTGTCCCGGTCCCGCAACCTCACGCCTGTGTCACCCGACAACGAGCGGCATGTCTCCATCAGAAGAGCAATTCAGACTGTTATGGCGTCATGGGGAGGAAGGGGGCGGCGGCTTCTGCGAAACTGTTTCTTGCTTTCTTTTCCTACCCCGCTGATGTGATGGCTTCCAAGCCTCGTCATACCTCACTGGCGTCTCTGGGCTTCTTTTCGTCAGCCTACCTTGCCTACCTACCCCTGTCACACCTACGAAGCCAAACGTCGTGTAGTGTCTCTTCATCTTGCCAAACAGATTGCCAGAGCACCCCCTTACCACGCATGGAGGGCCAGCAAGGGATGATTAGCACAAGCCACTCCCATTGCTAGGCCGCACCTTGGGACAAGCGGACCAAGGGCTTCTTTCATGTCTGGCACCCCTGGATCGAAGGACGCCCACTAGGTGTAGCCACCATAATGTTCCACGATGAAGAGCGTATCATGCAAGAAGGGGCCACAGATCAAAGACATGCATCGCATCGCGAGTCTGCCGGAAAGTACATCTGACAATTTTGTCTCCGTGCGATAAAGGCACAACTTGGCGTGGTCATGAGGCAACTCCAGACGTGATTCAGCAAGCCTTGACGTTTCCTGGATGCCCCCCCCC